ACGCAAACCTTCAAGAATGTTAAATAATTTCTTAAGACACCTTTAAGCTTACGTAAGCTAACTAGGTGTAAGAAACAAGTTCTTGACTTCAACACTAAAACTAATAAAATTTCTTCTCTCTAAAAAAACCCCAATATTTATAAACAAATGTTTGAGGCATATGGATAAATTCATGAGCACACGACTAAAGCGAGCAAAGTGACACATCCGTGCTTTACTTTAATTCAAAACACCACACGAGTAGTGGCATAAGGCATAGATATAAGATAGAAGGGTCACATGGGTAGAAACATTAGGCATAAACGTTAGACAAGTGCTTCTCTCTCTCTCTCTCTCTCTCTCTCTCTCTATATATATATATATATATATATATATATATATATATATATATATACACACATACACACACACACACACTCGCTCACAACACCGACTTTCCGAAAATGTCTAGATGAGTGCGGATCATAGCATACATTATTCTACCGACTACACTTAAATATGGAACTCATGATATTTTCTTCTCTTCTTCTTCATTTTGAGAAGATTGAAGAGTTGAAAGTATGAAGTGAGCGACCAACGGAGTACCGATAGGTTTGGCCTTCTATATACGAAAATGCTCAAACATTTTCTCAACTTATTCTTTATATGAAAGATATAATTTTCAACCTTAATGTCTTTATGAATCTTCATACCTAAGTTCTTCTTCGATGCTCTAATATTTTTTATCCCAAACTCATCACCGAGTTATTTATTCGAACTCGAATTTCGACATGTTATTATTTAGCAATAAACATGTCATCCACATACAATAAGAGATACACAAAAGATCTATCTACTAACTACTTGAACTATATACAACTATCATAAGTAGATCTTAAATAAACATAATTAAGCATAGAACTACCAAACCTCTCGTACCATTACCTTGATGGTTATTTTAGGCTATACAAAAATTTCTTCAATAGATGAACATGGTCTTCTTTCTTTTCATAAAGTATCCCTTTAGTTGAGACATATAAATAGTCTCCTCAAACTCTCTATATAGAAAAGTCTGTTTTCACATCAAGTTGCTTGAGCTTCAAATCAAATTGAGTCACCATAGCAAGCAACATATGAATAGTGATATGTTTCATAATTAGAGAAAATACTTCATTGTAATCAATTCTCTCCTTTTGCCTATAACCCTTAGCCACCAATCGTACTTGGAATTTAGTATCTTCAACACTCGGTATTTCTACCTTTTTCTTGTAAACCCATTTATATTTAATGACTCTGTTACCTTTACGTAATTTCACCAAATCTCAAATTTAATTTTTATAAAGTGACTCAAGTTCTTCTATCATTATAAGACCCATTAAGTAGACTCTTCACAAATCACTATCTTTGTATAGGTAGAAGGCTCATGAATACCCATTGTCTAAGCTCTAGTGAGGGCATAAGCTACTAGATCAGCATAAGTATATTTTTAAGAGGTCTTATCCGTCTCTTCTCTTGGCTAGTAGCTATCAAGCAAGGTTATTCAAATTCTATGGCATCTTCATTCATATCCGAACCTTGTTGAACATCTATAACCGTAGGGGATACATTTAAGGATGGTTTTTGAGGAGTCCCTTTTTTAAACTTCACTCGAAGATTTACCTTATCCATAACATTTTCATTTTTTTTCTATAGACTCACAAACAACATTTTCCTAATCAAGAATATATCTTTCATTAAAAGTAACGTCTCTATTAAGACAAATTGGGTTCAAAACACCATAGACAATAACCTTTCACCCTATCAACATAGCTAACAAATATGTTTTTTTTTTTGCTCTAAGTTCAAGTTTACCATCTTTAACATGATAATAAGAAAGCATTCAAATATTTTTAAATTTGAATATTTACTAGGCTTACTTGAACATACCTCGTTTAGAGTCTTATAATCAATGGTAGTAAAGGGTCAATAATTGACAAGATAAAAAGCCGTGTTAATTGGTTCAGCTCAAAAATCATTTTCTAAACCTAAATTAGAGAGTATACATCTAGCTCTCTCCATCAAAGTCATGTTCATGTGCTTTGCCATCCCATTTAGCCGAGAAGTGTGTCTAATTATATGATGTCGAATGATCCCATAGTTTGTACAAAACTCATAAAAATTTATACCATAAAATTTCAAGCCATTATTTGTTTGAAGATGTTTAACCTTCTTTTTTGTTTGATTTTCTACTAGAAATTTTCATTGTTTGATAGTTTTGAAAACATCACTCATATGTTTGAGAAAATAAACCTAAACCTTCGAGAGTACTCATCAATAAACATTAAAAAATAAAGTGCATCACCTTTAGATGGAACTTGAGTTGGTCTCCATAAATCCGAATGAATATAATCAAGTATCCCTTTTGTAGAATGAGTGCCAATAGAGAACCGCACTCTAGTTTACTTTCCTAAGACACAATGCTCCTAGAAATCAAGTGATGTCATTTGATCACCATAAAGCAAACCATGTTTACTCGGAGTAGTCATACCTCTCTCACTCATGTAGGCTAGACACATATGCCATAATTGAGTCCTTTGCTTTTCGAGTAGAAAGCGATCACCCCTGTTGAGCCTATTACTATACTACCTTATAACACATAGAGACAATTAATGCGAGTTACTTTCATCACAACTAAAGAACCCTTAGAGACCTTAAGAATTCCACTTTTTACCGGAATAGCCATAACCTCTCGAATCCATATAGCTTTAAAAAATTAGATTTTTCTTCATGTATGATAAGAAGCACCTATATCTAAAATTCATTTTTGATTAGAATGACCATCTAGAGAACATACGACAAAAATACTTTCAGCAAGCATCAACATCAATAGCCTTCACCATATTAGCAAACTCAAAACTTTGACCCTACGGTTTCTTCTTCTTCTTCAAATTAGGATAATTTGATTTGTAATGTTGTTTCTTATGACAATATTAGCACTTAATATTGTTCTTTTTATCCGAGAGTGATCTAGACTTAAAACGAAATTTGGGTCTTTCGTTATAACCTTCTATATCCTTCTATCTTCGCCTTACTAACAAACTATTAGCTCGACTATCAATGGCTTTGCCATTCAGACTTATGTCTCAACTTAGTAGAATTCAAAAAGGCCTTAACATCCTTTAAAGTTATGGACTTTCTACCATGTAACATTGAAGTAACAAAATTCTTATACGAAGCAAGTAATAAACACAATACAATAAGAGCTTAATCTTTCTCATCAATTTTAATATCAAGATTTTTCATACCCATAACAATCTTATTAAATTCATCAAGGTGTTCTTAAATAGACATACCTTTTGCATCTTTAGTGTATAAAGACGCTGCTTCAAATACAATCTTGTTGTAAGAGATTTTTTCATGTAGAAGCTTTCTAACTTCTTCAACGAGTCCCACCACAGTCTCTTCATCTACGACTTCTAGTAGTACCTTGCTCGATAATGATAATTATAAAGCACTTATGAGCCTTCTCATTCATCTCTTTATTTTTTATAGAAATCATGTCATATGGGTATATATCCTCAATTGTCTTAATAGAACCTTCACGTTACAATAAAGGTTTCATTTTTATCCTTCATAGGCCAAAATTATTTTGACCATCAAAAGGTGTAACATCAAATTTTAGAGCTATCATTACGAATAGAAAACCCAAAGATTCACAACATGTGCTCGATACCGGTTATTATGACAAACAACGAAAACAGGACAAATAATGACGGATAATAATCGAAAGATAAAGCTAAATAAATTATCAATACGTAGGATTTACGTGGCTTGGCAAATTGCCTACTCCATAGCGATATGGAAGTTTTATTAGCTTGATGGCAATAGAAAATATAAGAATCCTAGAGGTTCAATACAAAATCTCTGTCTTTTATTCTATTTTCTAAACGGAGTCATAAGGACGTTTAAATGCCTCATACCTATAAAAAAAAAAAACCTAATGCGCTAAATATATTATTAGCCCATAAAATTCAAGCCATATTTCAACACTATTAGTAATAACTCATATGCTTAATACTAACTTAATTTACATTAGTGTGATAATGATAATTTAATAATTTAATTTTTTCTTCTCTTTTGGGAAAATTGTTTCCCTTCATCCATCACCCATGGAGCTGGGCACAAATTACATTATCTAGAACGCTTTCTTTTTAATATTTATATCTTTAAACACCTTTCCTCTTCAATTTTTGTATTAATTATCAACTCATGCAAATCGATGAGTTGATAACATAATATTGTTTTAAGCAACAACTAGTGTTAAACCACTTAAAGACTAGTTATGATGAGTCACATTACTTTTTGAATTGACGATGATTCATCTTACTTTTTTTCTGAAGAAACAAAAAAAATTTATGCTAGAAGGCCGATAAAAATTAAAAATCAACAAGTTATTAAAATAGGACTTGAGTCTATGATCTCCTCCTATCCTATGGCAAGTCTTACCACCTAATTCTCATGGGTAATTATAACAGAAGAAAAAAACTATATACATATTAATTACATATTTTTGAGGTTTTGTCTTATTTTATTTTTTCAAAATAATATTGATAGATTAATTGTAGATTGAATAACAGTTAGTAATTTTTTTTTATGAATATAAATAATTAATAATGCCTCATATATAATTGGACATTATTTTTATGTTAATTATCTCGTATTTCTTTTCTCTATCTTTTTTTTTTTCTTTGTTCAATCTTATAAAGATGAGTTCAAAATAAAGAAAAAACGTATCTGCCAGTGTCTTGTATCCGCTATCCAAATCAGAATCTTTGTGTAGAAATAGTATATATAATAAATTATCTGGCGTATCAGCAACTGGCCTATTAGCTCAGTTGGTTAGAGCGTCGTGCTAATAACGCGAAGGTCGCAGGTTCGAAACCTGCATGGGCCATGATTTTTTGCGGCATTGGATGAGTGCTATCAATCACACGGTGTCTGATGAGTGTTGAACAAAATTTAACTGTTAAAAAACTGCAACGTCAGGGCACTACATATCCTGGAGAGTGTACAGACGCAGAGAAGATCACGTAAGCAATCCCACAAGAGAATATTACTGTCAGGATCCATCCACATAGGAACTTGAGCACAAGTTTCCAATTAACATTCTGCATTAAGAGAAAACATTGTTAATCCTTTTTCATCATAATCACTCAAAAAGGAAAAAAAATTTCCATGTTTTCTTTCTTAGACAGTTTGAAAGGTCAATCGCAATGTGATATGGAATTTGATGCTGGTTTAGAACTTAGACGTCAGGCCATTATTTATGATTGGCAATGTGAGAATGAAGAGGAAACCTTACCCGAATGTCATCTGCCATTCCAACTCCTAAAAGAGATCCAACAAAAGCATGCATACTTGAAACAGGAAGATTCATTCTAGTAACCATCATCACTGCTGCCACAGAGGAAAGTTGTGAAGCCAACCCTCTTGAGTTACTCATGTAAGTTAGCTTCCCACCTAGACATCGAGTCAAGCGCCATCCACATAGGAAAAATCCCATTGCAGCAACTAGTCCACTAATCGCTCTAAACCACCATGTCGCATGTACAGACTCCTGATTGCAAAATACATGTGCACTGTCATTGCAAGACAATTAGACAAAAACCAGTAAAGGGATTTATTGTTTTAAGCTTACCACATCTTCCCCATTCCGGAAATATTTAATTTTATGTTCAAACACATCGAGAATAGCTGCATATGGACTTGCAACGGCAGCAATCTCACCAGCAGATTGAAGCCTGCAGCACATCAATAGATTTCAATTATTCTGATGTATATGAAGGTATGAGATGAATCTGAGCAAAGAAAACTTCTACTTCTTTTAGAGACAAAGAACATACACGAAGATACATGACGCAAGAAGGTGCGGGAAGCTGAAGTAATTTTCCGTTTCATCGTATTTTTCAGCTAAAGCATGTCGAACAAGAGTTCTTCTATCATACTCTATAACCTTCTCTAACAAAAAATAAACTTATCATCACAACCAAAGTATTAAACTGTGCTGTCATTCTAAAGAATGATATAGAACTATATATGCTAAGAGAAAAAGTGAAGACTTACTGGATGAATAATTGATTTTGCAAATCTTTTGATATATGTAGAGGAATCGGACATTAGTGTTCTTTTATCAATCCTCTGAAACTTCCTTGTTTGAACCAGCCTATTTGGGGTAGACTCAAGCAACTGTTTGAATGGTGGTAATTGATTTGTAGAACTTTTCTGAGAGACTGATTGAGTCTGTTGGAAATCTTGAATTTGCTGTTGAGAATCATGGATCTTATCTGGTGGTGGTGATTCCCAACTCCTCTCTTCCTCTTCATAGACTGTTTCAAGAACTCTCGTCTGCATAAAATCCCTCAACATTTCTTCAATATCTTCATGATTCTTCTCATCTTCTTTTGTTGAACTCGTTTTATCCTGAATTTCAATGCATTGATGATCAATCGATCTGCTTGGCTTATCGGACTTATAATTTGGAATAGCATTGGACTTCTTTATGGTCAAGGAAACTATCACAACCTGTTGCACAACTAAATTTAGTCCTAGACAAGACTAGAAAGAAAGAGAGATGGAAAGAATTATTGCAACAGCATCAAAAGGATGACAGAACTTTAGGTTATGAATATTTACCAATGACAATAGTGCTCCAATCAATGTAGCAACTGCAACAGCAACTACAGCAAGCCATTTATTGACAGATATAAATTTTCCTTGGATCTGCATCCAAGTAAGAAAAGAGTAATGCAAGTGACTAAATGGACAACAATGTAAAAGCAGCAGAATGATCTTACTGAACTATCTATCCTTTTCCGTTTTTAGGTTGCTAGGAAATCAAACAGAAAGTAACAGAAAACTAAAATAAGGTTTCATGCTATCCTATTTGACATTTGTTTAAACATCATCACTTTGGTCACTGGTTGTGTTACTTCAGCCAAAATCTTGCTACCATTCAGCTACTAAACATGACAGGATCTTCTCCTGCCTAGGAAGAAATGTCTTCTTTAGCATAATGGACTGCCTAGACGGGAAAAAAAAATAGCAACCTTCAATTTTTTAGCTGTCCATGATGTTAAAAGTAGTAGAGAGAGAGAGAGAGAGAGAGAGAGAGAGAGAGAGAGAGAGAGAAGAGAGGGGGAAAAAAAAGCACACTTGAAATATGACAAAGATGCAAAGTAATCCGGCAGATATTCCATAGTCAATAGGGAGGAAAATGAGAATCCTTTTCTCTGCATCTTCAGGCCGAAGTAGGAACACCCTCAAGAGTTTGAAGAAAAAGTAGGAGCACAGACAGGCGATTAATGGAGCAACAGTCCATTCAAGGAATATCCAGAGGAGCCCTCCACCAGTAAAATTGTGATTTTCATTCTGCAAGATCAAACTATGGCTGAAGAATAAGAATGAAGACTGAAGTTTCTAATCACAAGACTGTACAAGATGTGATTAAATCATATGCCAAACCACAGAAATTACCTTAAAAGGTTATCATATATGTAAGCATGCACACAAGGAAATGATCGCCGGAGGAGGGGGTGTAGAAATAGTTCAGAGAATAACTACTGTATATACTATTAATTACTTTTTGTACATTATAAAATTTCTCGTTCAGGGAGTAGGTATCATTTAGTATGTGATTAGGAAATTAGCAATCAACAAGAAAAATATCATTTCATCAGTTACACAAATTTGTCATGCATTTGACTGATGAATATAGGGTTTTCTACCTTGTTCCATAAGAGCATGTAGTCAAAACCTTCAGTGACAAGAATAGTTCCTAATAGAGCACTCTGTATTGACTGCTGAGATGAAACTGGTAACTCCCAGTATGTTGCAACTGCAAGCCAGATTGCTGCCCATATCATGAAGGGCAATAGAAGTTAGAGAAAAGAATGTACACCATAATATAGTTGCAAGCTTGGCCTTCAAAATTACACAATTTTTTCTAGTTCAGTTGCCAAGTAGAACAACAGAAGTAACTCAGTCATTTGAAATCACACCACTTGTAAAATCATAAATTCTCCTTTCGTCCTTTCCATTTGTTAAATTAAAAAATGTAGACCGATAACTTAAATTGACTGTCATTGAGTACCTGCAGTTATTAGAGCAACTACCAGGCTCCACATAAAAAATCCTGCATCTGGTTTACTTTCTTTGAGAAACTGTAATGACGCCATATTAGTTCATGAAAGAAAATGCATTTTATAGTGCTTAAGTAATCATGTTTATGGGCAAATGTTCATTTACATACATCAGAAAACAAAGAATCAGCAGTGCTCTTGCTTGTCAAGGCTGCTCCCGGAACATAGATTAGGCAAGCCATTGCTGAGGCCTTTAGGAGAGTCAATGCTCCTGATCCTACTGATGTTGAAAACTGCACATTTAAAATTCAATGAATTTCAGTATTTTGTAAATAAACCTAAGTTCATGCAGTTTGTGTCCTGAACCTGAATTAGTTGTACATATATGCTTGCTAGAATGTTTTCTATGGAAACAGAATGCTTGTTTACAGTATATGTATGACTGGCAAAAAAGAAGAAGAAGAAGAAGAAAAGATGGTCCGACCGGAGCTGTGAGATTATTTGCACCGGCAGAAAATGCCATGGCAATGGCCGCAAAAGCTCCGAAAATGGGTATCCATTGGTACGTCTCTTTCCACCTTCCAACTATTTCAATGGCCAAATCAACGGCAATTTTTCTTTCCCTTGAGGACATTAGCTCAGCTAGGAGTCTCTCTGAGTGCAACAAAATTATGTACAAGGAATTAGAGGAGAAGAATAGTGATTATTAGAATGCATTAAAATTTACATTGTTTATATCTCTCGAGGACTAGGTGGACCGGCCTTATTGTTGGTTTTTGGAGTGTTCTATTAATTGTTTCTTGTCGCATGTTTAACATGAAGAGGAATTAGCCCTTGTTTTCCCCGAAACTTAGGGTCCGAGTTAGTTCCTTATGAATCCAATAGTCCAAGGTTTAGGTGTCAAACAAGAAAGCAAGGGACAACTATGTTTGTTCTTATAACTAGAATGAATTGATCTGTAATACCTAAGGAACTATATTCGTTCTTGAGATTTTTTTAACTCTCTTCTCAAGGAGCAGCCCTATATGCTGCTTATTTAAGCCCATGGCATGACAATACCTTGTTGATAAATATTTACTTATTTTCACCCCAGAAGATGGGCTGCACAACTGCAGACGGCCAGTTTCCTTTTTCCCACAAAACAAGCTAATGAACAAAGATTTACAAATGGGAATTGGACAGATAAATTAATAAGCCCAAACCTGAGAAGTACAACACCGTCTCTCTTCGTCTTTCTTGCCAAACTAACGCGATGGCCACCATCCTTGAAGGATTAGCTTTGGTGTTAAGTGTTTCGTGACCGATATTATTCCTCATGGATTCAAGTCCTAAATAAAAATACAAGAAAAAATGGTTTTTTTTTTTATTTTTTTTTAATGAATGTATCGATCCAAATACGAAGATATAACAAACCAAGAATTCAAATTCCACCACTTAATTTAACTTATCCTTAGATATGATTCTCCTGGTGTCATAAGATGGACATAATCATGAACTTAGGTAGTGTTTAGTTTCAGAAAATAATTTTCTAGTTTCTTATTTATTCCATAAAAATTTCTGATAGAAAACTAGAATTTATTGAATATAAATAGAGAACCTTGTTAGGCTTGCGACCGGAAAAAAAAAAAAAAGTTTTGGTGAATCAAAGACAACCGTCATTTTTTTAATTTTATATAAAAAGAAACTAAAAAATATGGTTAAAAAAACACTTATTTTCAAGAGAAATAACTTTTAGCTTCAATTTGTAAACACATTTTCTACAATTTTCTAATGTTTATAAATTTCCATTAGAAATATCAAAATTTCTATTTGCGTTCTCATATTTTAATTTGAGTCCTTATATATTTAGAAATTGATCAATAAAAGATTTTTATTTCAAAATAAATGTAACATTTGATTCATCATATCTTAAGAATACAATAACTCAGATATGAATTATAAAAGTGTAGAAACTGAAATAAATTTTTTTGATAAAGTACAAATACAAAAATAATGATTATTTCTAATAAGATAGTGTAGATAGTTTAGATTAGGGTAAATTACAAAAACTCCCATATTAACTATGGCAAAAAATTTACAGATTTGACAAAAATCTCATCCAAGCTTATAAAAACATTCGAAAATCCACTTTTATGCCAAAATGCCTTTAATAGTTTCACTTTTATGATGTTAAATTGATAAGTATCCCCTGTTTAGGGTTGACAATGGATTGAATTTTGATCTGTTTTGATTTTGATGTAATTAAATAGATCTTGCATATAATTTTTATTATCGAGTCCAATCAAGATTTGAATCCGTTAATCTATATATTAAATTGATCAAATACGGATATACTTCGATCCAATCACATAATAATCCAATTCAAAATTAATATTAATTTTATTTCTAATAAATATAATATTTTAAAAATATTAAATATAAAATTAAGATAAAATATGGCACTACATTTAGATTTATGATTTATTTACTATAAATGCTAATAATTCTATACTTTTTTTTCTCTAAATTGACAACTTTTCTTTCAAACATATCACATATTTTTTTTAATCATTTTCAAGTCTAAAATTAATATCGTAAAAAGTCCTATAAACATTTGAAAAAATATATAATTAATGAATTGTTGCTAGTATTATATTTGTGTTTCTAATTTATAAAATCTTGACCCAATCCGAACTTTTATCCATTTCAAGTTTTTTTTTTTTTTTTAAGAAACAAGAGCGGTACTCGACAAATATTATTAATAATCAATTAAAAAGAAATACACAAAGGACAACGATCTTACCCAAATGGGAGGGGGATAGAGGAGCCTAAAGCTCCCGAAAACAATAAACAAAATTAGCGTGGTCTATAATTGTAAAAACCAAATCTATCATGCCTATAAGCTACTTTAACAAATAAAGACACTAGTAAATAATCATGAAAATTACAATGTTCTTTTATGCTTGTGTGCCTCTGCTCGTCAATCTATCGGCTATCATATTACGCTCTCTATACACATGGAAAATTTCTCTATTTCTTAGAAAATCTATACTCCTACAAAGGGAGTAAGAATATTGCTAGGCCGGACGCCCTAAACCTTAAACAACCCACACAATCACTAAAGAGTCGACTTCTACTTGAAAAGAATGTAATCGTAAATCTTGACAAAGCGAGTAACCCATTTTGTAATGCTAATAACTCAACTCTCATATTTGTGACATCACCATCGAAATTAGAACAACTCGTTACGAGATTACCTCTATAATCTCTTATTCTTCCCCCTCTTATACAATAACCATCTATAGAGGATCCATCGATTTTCAATTTATAAACACCTAACGTTAGAGGATTCCGCTTAAGCCATCTTCCCTTAGCCTTGTTAACCAGGTAGACATTAGCTAGATTTTATCCAATAACATGATTAAAGTAGAGAAAGTCATGTGAAGTTAAATCACCCTTCTAGATGCTAGAAAGATGTAATACAAATCTATATTTTCCAAGGAATTAAATGAAAATACATTTATTATCACTAACTCTTAGTTACTACCATATGCAAGTTTAGATAAGGAATTACTCGGACTTGAATATTTAGCTAGCAATAGATTATGATAATAATAATAAAAAAAACTAGCTTGCACTCTAATCAATTAATCACATAATCATAACTAAATCATGCAAAAAAAAAATCAAAAACTAAAAAAAGAATAGTTTAGAATTAAAATTCGTTAATAACTCACAACGATTTAACAAAAAGCTTCAACTTCCTTCGACCAAGATAGGTGCTTAGTGGCTCGTGGCAAATTACAATGAAGAATTTTCTATCCATGGTGGCTATTAAAAGTGAGGATCCCTAAATAAAATCCTAACCTCTCTATTTATAGCTAAAAAGTAGGGTTACAATACACACATGGTAGTCCCACATAGCCACATAGCCATATGGATTGCTTAGTAAAGACATACAATTTGTTGCGTGACCTCATATGGTTTGAAGCCTTAGAGAGCTAGTGTTGCATGGCTTGTTGGGTAAAGGCACACGATCATGTGCCTTTTCCACTTTATCTCATGTCCTTAGCATCTGTTTGTATAGAATTTTTCCTTCATCTCGTTTCACTTCATTTTGCCCGTGTGCCTTTGTTGCTTCATTCTTCTTACTACGACACACATGACTATGTCTCTTCTTCAATGTATTTCGTGTGAATGTCTACTCGCTCGTGTGATCCTTCTTTCCTCTTGAAAGGTATTTTGGCCTTGACTCATGCACGGGCATGTTGCTTTTCTTTCTCTAGCCATATGGAAGGCTACTACCTATATGGCTTTGTTGCTAAACAACCACATGGTTTCTTTCTTTGTTTCACACATTCGGTAGCTATTTCCTCTTGAAAATCGCACGACAAGTATGACTTCTAAGCTTCCTTAGTAACTTTTGCTTCTCCTTGCTTTAGTTTTAGGTTTTTTTACTTCAATTTGTCATTTTTCCTAGAAAACTCAAAATCGTTATCTTGATCTTAATTTAGTAAATGTAATATAATAAATACTAAAAAATTCAATGTAACGAGCATAAAAATCATACTAATTACACACTCATCAAATACCCCCATACTTAAACTTTGCTAGTCCTTGAGCAAAACTAACAAAACAAAACCTAACTCACTTTTGTAAGAATCACAATTACATTTAGTATGTGCAATAAGCCTTTAAACCCTTTGGTTATCCCTAGTAGACGTGTTGTGTTTCATAAGGGTTTTCATATTATAAACCCATAAAATTGTTTAGATGAATGTCATGCTAGCATGATTATCCTTCAAATATTGATGCTTGGTTTAGAATTTAACAAAATCAAACAATTAAATTAATCATGTTCAAGACATTATTCTCATATATATGCATGTCTCTAAATTGATTTATACATATTTATAACCAACCACAATTCAAGCATGTAATACCTATCTTTCCCTTATCTCTTTTCCACCACTACAAGCAAAGTAATAACCCATAATTTTCTTTAATAAATTTTTTTTTCTTTTAGTATCTCAATCTTTTTCAAGGCCTTTGATAGTTCTTCTTTAAATGATCACTTGCCTTTTTACGTGACTATCGACATTTGTCATCAAGAAAATCTGTTACTCAACACATCATTAACTTAGAGAGCTTTGCATATTCATAATTCAAATTGTCGTTTGATATAAACGAAAACATTTACGGTGAATACTCCTAGTTACTAAGCAACTCAAATCATTTGAGTATATTTTTACTTAATTAGGCCAAATTTTCCAATTGTAATGCTTACTTTTCCAATTTCTTTTTTTTTTCAAATTTACGTAATAGTTAGAAATCTCGTTTATTTAAACTATACTTAGGTCTAGTTTCAAAAAGTACTTGCAAAATCAATATTACTTCTTAAATCATGCTCAATCATAAAGACACATAAAGCTCTTTAGCATGTGTGCACTTAAATGATATCCTAAACAATCTCATTTATCTCATCGGATTATATTAACGTTCATCTTCAATCATTAATCAAAAAAGACATCACACTAAAACATAATATTCATAAAAAAAATAATAATAATGGGGAATAACCTAAAAAAATTCAAACATACACAAACAATTATAAGCATATATATATATATATATATATATATAAAAAAAAAAAAAAAAAAAAAAAAAAAAAACCCTAAATGCTACCTCTACACTTAAATCGTACATTGTCCTCAATGTTTAAACGAAATTGATCAAACATGAAACAAAATGCTAAGACAAAGGATAAGAGATCAAATCGTTTTTTACAATACTCAAAACATAAGTGGTGAAAGTGGTAGAAAATGCACCATGAAGGCGTTGAAGATGTTGATGAGTTGGTTATCAACGATTTGAAACACAACCACCAAATGGTTATCCACACGTTGGATTTGTTTATTCAAATAGTTAAAAATAACTATTTTAGATGATTTGAAAATCATCTAGGGTGACCGTAGTCTTTTCCAATTGTATAATCAACCCTTTTACTTGGAACTCTTAAGACCAATGCTATGTTTTCTTAGTTTTCAACTTTTGGAAAAATGAGTGACGACTCCATACCTATATATTTTTCTTCATTTTTTGTAATCGTCGAGAGATTATTATGTGACAAGTATGATGCAAATTTAGTTGAATGCCCCGTAAATGCCTTTAGATAGTAATTGTACTTTCATATCTTAGTATCATGTCAATTTTGGTTGGCCCATTGATTTAAAGAGAATAGCACGGACCACAACAACTACATAGAAGTCATCTACCTGCAAAGGGAAAGAAGCAACAATAACCATAGTTTTTTAAAAAAAGTCATTACACAACAAAACAACTATTATATAATTATTTCAAAACATTCTATTATTGTTATTCGATGTTATGAATGTTTCGACGTCGTTTTACATATATAACGGTAAATAATGACATTATCGTTATATAGTATCAATATTTGTCGTTTTATAACAATGTTATACATTAATTAAAAACCTCAAAAATCAACATTTCAAATAAAGATAGAGTTTCACACTTTATCTTGTTAGAGAATAAAAATCAAATACTAGAGTTGTAGGTTTAATTAAATAAGTATTAAATTAGCCCTTTTATTTTGACAAAATAAATTAGTTAGTCCTTTTCATTTAAAAAAATAATTATTTAATTATTTTGATTCATTTTTTGTTATTTTCTAATGTATTTTCCTTTTAGTTTGAAAAAATGAAAAAATAAATCCATATCACGAAAAGAGGACTAGCAGGCACAAGACAATGGTTACAAATAAGACACAGGTTCCTTGAGTTTTAACAAAACAAACATTGAACACATTTTAGCGCAAGAACAAATGGCAGAAGCGTTTACAATCTACAACCAGGTAAAAAATCAACCAGCACTTTAGTTAGCATGTGCAACAATGTCATTGTCCCTTAAACGGATGCAAAATCAACTGAATTCCCAATTTCACTATAAAATTTACAGATTTAACGAGCAAAGGAATAAAATAAAAATTGTTTAAAAAAATTCACTCAAAAATTTAAAAGAAAAATTTGGCACCAGTATAGTCTCTGCATGACATGGCAACTTAAACCATCTGATACCTGCTTATGTTCCCACCATCAGAATTACCCAGGTAAGAATGCAGTTGAATACGCATACCACCTACATCATGTATTGGATCCTACGCAGCTGGCCTTTACATGCTTGCTATGCAATATTTATTTCTTTCAAATCCAAGTCAGTCTCCTTTTATAAATCCATTAGGTCCCCACCCCTACATGTATGAGCTGAAAAAAAAAATTTTCCATTTTTTAGGATTTTCCCAAGTAAAATCCTACTCTCTGAACTGCTGACTTCACTGATTATGTCACAAGACAAAATTCAAGCGCTTAGACATTTCGCAACAGGCCATAACATGATCAATCAGACTGCCAAAAATGTCTCTTCCAACAAGCCACTTCCAAAAAGAGCAGAAAATGATTGCTACCCTCATTCACAGGCAAGTACGATATTCTTCCTTGATTGTCTTGAAAAATTTCAAGGGGAGCTTTCTGCAGAAGGTGAAGGGTCTGAAGCTTCTGCAAGAGCTTCAAGCATGTTTATGACATCAGCTGTGTCATCCAAATAGTACTTGGCTTTGCTTGGTTTCTGACCAACAGTACAAGCAAAGACAGTTTTGCTTGAGGTAAGGATACCACTTGCTATTGCATTATCAATGCTTTCAAACATATCCTCATCTGATCTGTCATCCCCGATACACAACACAAAATCAGCCTGTCTTCCACTTCCAGTCATTGATGCAAAGATCTTCTCCGCCACAGAACCTTTACTGATTCCCTGAAAGCCGCATGAAAATTAGTTTCAGGCTTCATGGTCATATTCTAGTCAAGAGAATTTAACACTTGCCTAGGAAAGATGCCCACAGGTTATCCCAAACAATACAAAAATTAAGAAGCAAAGGTCCACACTAGTTACGACAAAAGTTTGCACTGAGCATTTGCATGGTTCACTGTCAACAAATGTATCAAGGTCCATTCAATTAGTGGTGATATGTTGCATGGTTCACTGTCAAAAAATATATCAAGGTCCATTCGATTAGTGGTGATATAACATAAATGATCAACAAGCTTTTATGCTTTCTCCTCCTGATATTTTAATGATCCACGCATTACTAATGAACATTCAAATTGACCAACCATTTAACAATATTGACCTTAACCAATACGAAATCATGCAACTTTTATGCCATAATAACCATAATTGCTTCAGAAAGTGACATAATGACAACTGAAATGGCCAAAACACAACCAATTTAGTAAATCAAGCCGTACTCCAAATTGCATTTTGCCAACAGTACTAATATTTGTTTTATTTTGTGGATATTGCAAAACTTACATTACGAGTGTGTTCTGGGAACAGGTTTCCACCATTTTCATAATTGCATGAATCTGTAATTCTCATTTTGGTTAACTAACTATTCCTGAAAAAAACTTGATGCCAAACATTAAACTGCTTCTCACCCACTCCCTAACTTCCAACTTGTGCTCCACCAAAAGCAAGGGTGGATCTGTTTTAATAGGCAAGACCAAACATAGGTTCGACATAAACTCAATACCCTGACTTGAAGTGATGTAACTGGTCTAAAGGAATTGAGATCGGTTTACACTTTGTTCTGGCAGTCAAAACAAATTGGCTGATTTGCAGCAGCAGTTTAATTCTTTCATGGTATTTGATCATCAGAACAGCAATTGATATGAAATTGTATTAGGGTAGAAAATTCGTAAACTGTAGTTGAAGCAGAATATTTACCTGAGGCTTAACTTCCACAATACACTGACCACTTTTGACAGCAACAGGCTCATTTGCAAGCACACTTTCAAGATGGTCCAACATCTCCTTGGCCTGTGCAGCTCCAAAACCTGGATCTGCATCCCTGTGGTGCCAAACCAATGCACTCTCTTTGGTCTCAATGGAAGATCCATCAGTGGATTCTGTATACAATTTCATAACAGGCTCGGCTATTTGAATCCATCCAAAATCACTACTCTGCCCGCAGTTCTCCCATTCCTCATCCACAGACCACCTAACACATCATTATTTTTAGACAGAAGCAGAAAGGGAAGACTCATAGCAAACAAAAGTAATAGAGAACAACATACCTCATGAAGTACCCATGTTCAGCAGCAATTCCTAGTTTTTTACAAGGTGCAAACCACTTGCCTAAACTATCCCTTCCTCTTCCACTGACAACAAAGACAGTATTCTTAGCATCACTACAAAGAGTGTTTATGATTGAAATGATCTCATGACTTGGGGTCTTATTCATGGATGTGTGAGGCATTACAGTTCCATCGTAGTCCAAGAGTATAGCTCTGTTTTTGGACTTTATATATGCAGATTCAATGTGATCAATATTTAATTTTTTGAAATTAGGATCAAGAGCAACAACTCTGAACCCAAAGCTTAAGCCAATTCCCCAGCAGCGCCTTCTGAAATGATCTTTGCAAGTCCTCTCCAGGTCTTGGTAGAAGCTCCTCGACCAATATGCCACATCATGTGTGCTGACATACCTGTAATGCTTCTCATGTCGCAATTGTTTCTCAGAATCTGCCATTGAAATTGCCTCATTCATTGCCTCAGCAGTTGTTTCAATGTTCCATGGATTGACCCGAATTGCACCACTGAGTGAAGGGGAACATCCAATGAACTCTGATACAACCAGCATGCTCTTCTTGGGGACACTTGATTCTGAGCTAGACTCTGATCCAGAAACTCCCTGTCTGCACACAATGTACTCATAAGGAGTAAGATTCATCCCATCTCTCACAGCAGCCACAACAACACACTCTGCAATGGTGAAATATGCAACTCTTTCACTGAGAGATACTGGTCGATCAATGAAGACAACCGGTTCATAGCCAGGTCGACCAAAAGTTTCATTAATCCTCGTGCAGCTTTCCTGTATTTCAGCTTGCACTTCTTCAAGGTCTCTCCCCCGTCCCCTAGCAGGATTTGTTATCTGCACCAAAACAGCCCTTCCTTGCCACTTTGGGTGCTGTTTCAGCAGCTGTTCCATTGCCAAAAGCTTCAAATTTACACCTTTAAAGATGTCCATATCATCAACACCAAGTAAAACTGTCTTTCCTTCAAACTGTTGTTTGAGCTCTCCTACCCTCCACTCCTTATCTGCAAGTTTCAAGACAGACTCAATCTGTCCCATATGAATCCCAACTGGCATGATCTTTATTCCAACAGTCCTACCATAATACTCCATCCCAATGTAACCTCTCTTTGACTGATACTCCAACCCCAACATTCGACTGCAACAAGATAGAAAATGACGAGCATAATCAAAAGTGTGAAAACCAATGAGGTCTGAATTCAAAAGTGCCCTAAGGATCTCTTCCCTGACAGGTAAAGTCCTGTATATCTCAGATGAAGGAAATGGACTGTGAAGAAAGAATCCCATTCTCAATCTATTGAACCTTCTCCTCAAGAATGTAGGCAGCACCATCAAATGATAGTCATGAATCCAAACATAGTCATCCTCTGGGTTTATAATCTCAATCACCCTTTGCGAGAAGATCTTGTTTGCCGCCACATATGCCTCCCACAAAGACCGATCAAATCGGCCACCATGATTTCCCGAAAAGGAAGCATATAGTGAAAAAGCGGCCACAAATGCTGTTTACAAAACCCATGATAAAACTTTGACAGCATATCAGGAGGTAGAAATGCTGGAACACACTTGAACCTATCCAACAAAACCTGTGAGACATCATCTTGTTCGCTCAAATCAACATCAGCACACAAAGAACCAACATATAAAACCTCCATATCTTCAGGCAAACCATCTTTTAATTGCAATAACAACGAATCCTCATCCCAACTAAAGCTCCATCCTTTATTATCCGGTCTGCGCTTTGCTTTTACCGGCAACTGATTTGCTACAATGATTATACGGTCCTGCACTAGTGATGAAGGTACATCCGAGGCCACACTATTAGCCACATCATCATCGAGCTCAGAAATAACCCCCGGAACTGTCATTACACGGGGCAGCCGCTTTCTCTCCCGAGGTTGACCCATTGCCGGAAAGTTACCAGAAGCTAGATCTAAAAGATTGGTATATGATCTAGACATCATCTTGACACTCTTTCTTTAACAACCCTGAACTACTACCACTACAAATTCTACTCAAAACAATCCACCACAAGATCTCAAAGCTTGTTATAAACCAAATCCCAGTATTGATTTCCCTTTAAAATCACTATAACTTTACAGGATCTGAAAAGGGTATAAAGCAAACACCATCATTTAAGATGCAGTAATTAAGAATCTTAGTTTACATATAATAAATGACTACAATCCAATTAAACATTTAATGAAATCGAAATATAACAAATCATCTAACACAAATGAATCATGAAAAAGACTCGAAACTTTACATTCAAATTCAAAAAAAAAAAAAAGACCCTAGATTAACAAACTTTCTTGTATGACATAAAAAAAAAAGAAGAACAAACTAAAAATTGAAAGACTAACCTTTGAAAGGCAAGAAAGTTTGCACCTTTATAATCTTTGGATCTGAAATGAAATATGATTAAACAACAAAAATAAAAATTTGTAATCTGTCACAAGTAAGAACGAAATCTAGGGTTTGGCTTTGTTTTGCTTTTGGTATCTCTCTGTTATCTGAATAGTTACATTAACAATCTCTCTCTCTCTCTCTCTCTCTCTCTCTCTCCTCCTTTCTTTCTATGCAACCAATATGCTACAACACAATGTTTCTTTCTTTCTTTTGTTTTATGTTTTTTAAATTAATTACCAAAAAAAATTTATATACAAAGGAAGAGGATAAGGTCGGCCAGTAGACTGCCCAGTAACGCCAGCTGGCAAAGTGGAGTTTTTGGGTCACGCGCTCTTACGCCCTTTCGCTAACGCAGTTGCGCTATCGTGTCAGGTTTTAAACAAAGCCACGTGGATCAGAACCATGTACTGCCTGTCCCACGCGTCGTTGGATATATATTCAACCAAGGAAAGTATCACATGTTTCATTTGTAGGTTAATGGGCATTTATTGCTAACCAATCATATTCTCTATTTCTCACAATCTATTTTTACCTTTGCATTAACCAAGTGAGAGTAAAATATTTCACACAAGAATAAAAGAAAGGAAAATTACAGACTATCAAATTGGGAATCCATTAACAATTCCTACGATGATTAAGTGATTGGATCTCCTTGATATATATATATATATATATATATATATATATATATATATATATATATATATATATATATATATATATTGGGAATCCATTAACAATTCTTACGATGATTAAGTGATTGGATCTCCTTTACATATATATATATATATATATATATATATATATATATATATATATATATATATATATATATATATATATCAAGTAAAAAAAAATTTCGTAACTTGATAGTTGTGACATGATTTTAAAAATTTTAGATTAAACTATAAATCATAAATGATATTATTGCATATAATTTTTAATTTTTATAAAAGATAAATTTTATCCAATTATGATTGGTAAAGTGGACATATGAGAATGAATATTTTACGTATAATTGTTTGCACAAATTTAATTATTAAGATAGCATATGGATGAGAAATTTTATAATACATAAAAAGTAATTAGTGACATATACGGTAGTTACTCATTGAACCCACTTTGAGGAGAGAGATAGACACATCAAAGAGAGAGAGAAAAGCAAGTGAGAGAAAATAAAAAAATTTGAGCGAACGTAGAAATCTTTTTATCACTTTTGGTGAGTATGGATGTAATTTTTCTCTTTTTTATTTGTATCTCTCTCCTTAAAGTGGATCCAAAGAATAACTTCGTACATATTACTGAGTCTACTCCTCGTGTATTATAAAATTTTTTCATATGGATAACAATTCGGGTTTCATTAAATTTATGTTTTGATGGTAGTCTATATGTATTTTTTTTTCTTCCAAACTTGGGGATTCGTGTTTAATAATTTTTCAAGTCTTTTTTATCAGAAATTATAATTTTTGTTCTAGAATAAGTATTTGCACTCATATTCTGTTGACAAATTAATTCTTAAGGAAAACTATTTATAGTCGTAATATATAGGATATGTTGACAAAGTGATTCATAAGGAAAACTATTTATAGTCGTGATATATAGGATATGTATAAACCCTAGCAATTTCAATAAGTCAACATGAAATAATTGATACAAAATCAATCATATATATATACTATTTTTTCAACAAATGTTGTTGTAGAAGTAAAATTATAATCGCATATTGAAGTTTTATTAGCTTAACTAATTATTATTTTGATTTTGGTATTTTGAAACTCAATTTAACATACTCAAAATGGATTTTAATATATAGTAATGAAAGGAATATAATTAGTAAGGATATATATAGAGAGAGCGCGGGGGGGGGGGGGGGGGGGGGGGGGTGTGAAGCAATGGATAAGATAGGAATAAGCTTCAATCCAAAACATTTCTTCTAAAAAAAGAAAAAATTGATAAAAAGTAAGAAACATCATGTACTGGTCCGTGTTGTAGCTGAATATACACAAGGGGGGCTAGAAGCTCTACTTGCATGTTCATGATGTTGCCACGTGGATGTGAGAGTTTGTGGATAAGGGGAAACAGATGATAAACCCAGGAAATGATGACGTCATCGCCTACATAATCGTGGTGACGTGTCTACACGGGGTTGGGTGTGCCTGTTTCCATAAAAAAAAAATGTAATAAATGGGGTTTGGTTTTTCTTAGTTGGTATGCATGTGTATAAATTGGAAAGAAAAAGAATACTCCTGGTCAGGGTTACTAGTTTCTCCTGGGCATGAAATGTCATTTTCATCCACGTAAAGTTTTTGATATCCACTAAAATTTGGATGGTTGGCATTAGAATAAATAGGGGACTACCAGGGTAAAAGTTATAATAAATGTGTGACAGAAAGGGTCAGACCAAATGGTGGGCGTCATTTGACTAATACGCTGTCTTTACCTAATTTTTGCTCATGCTGAAGAAGATGGTTTCTGGTGTGGCTTTGGTGGCAGATATGGTGGGAACTTTTTTATTTTTTGGTAGGAAAATTTTATTCTAAGTTTCTATAAGGTCGGTTGTTAGGAAGTTTCTCTCTCTTTCTCCTCCTCTTTTTCTTCTTTTATTTTAAACGTGTCATATAATTAATACTTCCATATTAAATCACATAACGTAGAAAAACTGTTTAATTTATTTCGAAAAACTAAAAGAATTATTTTATAATTTACTAATATATTCTTCACTTTATTAATTAAGTTTCATTTCCAAAACCTAAACGTGAAGAAGCCTAGCAAAAGGAAGGGGGAGTGGGGGAACAGAACTGAAGAATGAATACTTTTAAGAATTGAGGACTTAACACAGATGGCAATAATAACAATATAATTTGACTTAACATTTTTGCAATTAGAATTGATAAGATAAAGTTAAGAAATCGAAGGATCTTATTAATTTCGCCAAACAAATGGCAGTAAAAAGCAAGCCTATTTAAACTAAATATAAACCTTTCTTATGAAGGATCCTTTAGATTCATATTATGAGTTGAATTGATTAATTGATATTGTTAGATTATATATTATAGTTCTTACAATAAAAAGTAAGATAAATAGCTCATTTAGTCCTTACATGACATTCTAAATTTTCTATGTCCTAAAGTGTCTAACTATAATTTATAAATCTCGGAAAATTTTTCAAATGTTCAATCTATTTTTCTAATCAATTTTTTCGATGATGAATAAAATATTTGACCAACATATCTTTTATTAAAATCTAAAAAAAAAAACACACACACACTTAAAATCACATAATCTGCATGTTTCATATTTAAAGTCTTCATAATTTTATTTTATTTTATTTTTTACATTTCACTCGAAGTGTTTCGATCAAAAAAAATTTATAATCAAAAAAATTGATCGGAATGATAGCTTGAATATTTTAAAAAATTTCAAAGATAGATGGGAGACTTATAGTATTAAACAAGGATAAATTGAGTTATTTACCCGAAAAACTAGTTCCATAAAAAAAAACATTATATATGATTAGTTTTAGTCGCTTTTCAAACTATTTCATGTATATCATTTTTTTTGTACTATTAAGTTTTATTTGAATTACTTAATACACTTAGGTCAATTTAATAAAAGTTTGGTGTGCATTCATTTTAACTCGCTAAAGTTTAAAAAAATTATTTGTTTGTTGTATTTCAAATTTGTTTTCAACTACTTGTCATGTTTCACAATTGTTTTTTTTTTTTTTTTTTGGTGTTTGTTCTTGATATAATCTAATTTTGACCTCTTAATTTTTAAATAATTTTTCAAACAATATAAAAATCCATAATTTGTCACCGTTTTTAGTTATTTTATAAATTTTCATAATTTCTAAGCATTTCAATATTCTTTTTTTTCATAATTTTTTAGAAGAAACAAAAATCAAAGTTGAAACTAAAAAAAGAGAGCTAGAAAAAAAAAAAACCAAAAAGCCAAGATAAAAATAAAGGAGAAGACGTGGGGCATAGCTGAAAAAGGACAAAAAGAATGATGATGAAAAAGAAAAGAAGAAATTAAAAGGCGAAGGGGTCAATTAATAAAAAATCAAAAGAAAAGAGACCAAAATAAAAAATAAGAAAAAATAGAAAAGAATAAAATAAGGAAATATGAAGGGAAAAATCAAAATAAAAAAAAGAATAATAAAAAAATCGAAAGAAATTGTAGATTGGAGTACAATTGAGAAACAAATAAAAGACGAAATACTATAACGTGTCATCATCTCATTTTTACCCCAACGTAAATATATATATATATTTCGTTGCGGTAAAAATGAGATGATGACACGTTATAGTATTAGAAAGAGAGAGAAAGAGAGAGAGAAGAAAAATTACAAAAAATAGGAAAAAGAAAAAAAATCGAGCCTTGATAGCCCGGGCGCACTGTGTGGCGCTTAGGCTTGCGAGTGCATGAGGTGTGGGCATAAAACGGCCCAAGCCTAGTCGTCCGACCCAAATGAGCAAAATCATAATAGGAAAAAATT